AGAGCAGGACGGCTCTGCCCGGTGCACCCCGGCTGCTTGCGGGCATGCAGTGCTCAGTCGAAGCAGGGGAAGGGAGGAGATGGGCCATGAACAGACCTACTTGCTCCTGCGCTGCGTTCGGCCTCTTTTGGACGCCCAGAAATGTCCTGTTGCAGGCGCAGGCTGGTGCATGTCCCATGCTCATGTCCCCACCTGGCCACCACCACAGTCCCTCCGCAGAAGGAAGCCGAAGGAGCCGGCAACTGCATCCGCAAGGAGCCACCCCCAAACCCAGGGGTTCTCGGGTGCCACCTCCACACACCTTCCCCGCGGGCAGCAGCCCTGCTGCCTGCACTGGCTTGCCCGCATGGGGATGTCCTCAGGGCACAGACGGCACCGCGCTGCCCGCTTGCATCRCAGCCACCAGACTGGTGGCCCCATCCTATCTGCAGCTGCCAGGGAGYGGAGTCACCCGTGAGGGTGGCCACTGCCCCTTGTTTTCCTTCGAGAGTCTCATCCTGCGATTTCTTGCCCTGCCTGCTCCTTTGACGGGTTCTGCTTTCCATGCATGGTGGGGCTGCCTCACCTAGCACCTGGGTTCTGTCTTTAACATTCAAAACAACCATCTGTTTTTCCCCCCAATCTGTTTTTTTTTTCCATGAAATGTCTTGGGAAGTGTCTCTCAGTCAGCAGCAGAGACRTCGCAATGTGGAGTCTTGGAAGGCATGAACTTTGCTGAGTTTCACCTCACTGCACACAAAGAGTTCATAACCAGCAGAAAAAAGAGCCACCAAAACATCAAAATATGTTATGTGTACACACACACACACATGCTCTCATGAAGATACTACAGCTTGGTTGTAGGGGTGGGAATTCAGCCTGCTCCTCCTGATGGGAAACCTTTGAAGTCATTCAAATTAGGCCAAAACCTGAAATAATGATGTGACTTGTCTCGCTAACCTGAGTGAGCACAGCGAGGCAAAGCCACTGCTTGGCGTGCAGGGGGACAGGGGTGGCAGGCACCGCTTGTCACCAGAGCTCATCAGCAGGTCATGCTGAGATAACATTAATGCCGGCGCATTCAGTTCGTGTTACACTGCTCTTTTCCCTAAAGAAACAACAGAAATGGGCCAGGAAGAAGTGTGCTGTTTTAATAAAGAACACACCAATAAAATAAAAAATAATAATAAAAAAAGTCCCTCTCATGTGAAGAAGGAGAAGATGTGCAGGGAGCACCCACCTTGGAGCACCAGTACTCCAGCAGTACCTGCCTGC